TAAAACCCATCAGTGGCTTCAGGAAAGTAGGTTTCACCAAAGACAGCAATGGTTTTCTCATTGGTAGAATTATTGGTTCAGGTGGGACAAGATAACAGTGCTTTTATCCTTTGATTTTGCAAGGCTTAGACTAGAGAAGAACATCAGGAATAAGGAATGAAGAACGTATTAGGTAGAATAGGAAGAATGTATTAGGTTAGAAAGCACACATACATACAGATCACAAGAGATAGCTAATGAGGAAATATCAGCTAGCCAGAGTTTTTTTTAGCTCTGTGTTGTGGAGATCGATCTTAGCCAAGTGCTGTTAACATCTGGTTCCAGTGACTGATGTTATTCTGACCTCTTCCCTAGAAAATGGGCAGATGATACTAGAAAGGTAAGCACTGGAAGGCCCTGCTGGTATCTAGATATCATCTAGTGAGATTCCATCCAAGTTAATTTCCATTACCCTTCTGTCCTTAAAAGTCTATGGGAGATTGGCTTCTGGGGAACAAATTTTTGCACCAAAGGCAGTCAGTGCATTTGAACTCCAGTGCAAACCTTTCATGGAAAACAATGGTTACAAGTCAAACACAGCACAGACAGGCATTCACTGTGTCTCTATAGAAAGTTCACCAAGCAATCCTCGAAGTGTCAGTCATTATTTCCACTCTATCCTATTTCCCCTAAAATCTCGTAAGACAGTTGTGTTTCTGCTACACTTTCATGTTGTGAATACAGATCTTTAGACTTTCTTCTTTACTTTTAGCTTACCCTGAAAGTAAAGAACCTCAACAGTCTCTTTTTCTCACTATCCCAAAGATAACCTTCAAAAGTTCAAAGCCCTGCACTACTCCAGGGCAAAGCACACCTTTTCACTTGGAAAGGACGACGACAATTACACGTCAGAAATGTTCTCTGGACACACATCTCCCTTTCTCCTTTGCATACAAAAACAGACTGAGCAGATGATGCATCTTCAATTCGCGACTAAAACAAAAGACAGAAAAGAGAACTTGAAGGTAGTTCTTCCACTATGGTGTCAATTCTCCTCTTCATTCACACCCCTCTAATTTCAAACAATGTAACCAGTGGTTTCAATAGGAACTATAATTGCAGCATCCTCACAGCCTCATGCAGGCAAAGAGCGGCAGTCTAGTTTTATTTTTCTTACACCCACAGAGAATTCTGTTTTGTTTCGACCTCTCATTACTCTCCCTCCCTCACTTGGCTCCGAACATCAAATTCTCTCTCAGCCATTCAACGTCTATTCCATTTGGCTGCTTTTTTCTTACCATTATGCACACATATTGAACAGCTGGAACCAAGAACAGGCACAATTAATGATTCTGAAATTTTCCAAAGAAAATGTCTTTGCTTTTCCCCCATTTGAAATTATTTTTGGTCTAAAAATAAAGGGGAGGAAAAAAAAAAAAAAAAAAAGAAGAAGGAAAAAATGCCTCCCATTAAACCTTACACACATCTTCAAAAACTAAATGGAACATTTTGGGTTAAAGCTCTACTTTTTTAGAGAAGAAGTTGTTTCATGGTTGCTTTTATTCCTTAAATCACATAAGAACTCCTAAAGGGCCCCTGTTGCATCTCAGTGCCAAACCAATTTCTTTTATTACTGCACAGGAACCAGAACAGCAAAAGACCTCTAGCCCTCAAATACCTTACAAGTTACCAGCCCTAGGGAAAAACTGTGTTTGATGCTTTAGCCTACAGCCACAGCAAAGGGAGAGCAACAGCAGTATCCATGAGCAGGATGAAGCTAAGAGGCATTAAATGCCACATCCTCACACACTAATAAACGCTCTTAGGGCAGATCAGGGTATCTGGAGCAAGGCTAAGAGCAGGGATTTCCAAGTCAAAACCTGACCAAGTGGAGAAAAATGAGGCATGAGGGAATGCTGGTAGCAGGATAGAGTCCTCCTGAATGTAGATCTGCTCATGGATTTTATACGCAGTCCTGCAGGAGTGGCCTGTGCTACCTTCTGCCTCATGCTGGAAAAAATCTCCTACTTTAAAACCCAAAGCAGGGTCTGTTCTGTGGAAAAACGCCTCACCCAGTGCTTCCTTGAAGAGAACAAGCTGTGGGACAGAGTGAAGGCTATCACGTTGCAGGGTGTGTGCTTCTTTCCCATCAGCAGAGGGGCTTACAGGCACAGCGCCAGTCTGGTCTGCGCAGTGAAGCAACAGACCACTGTGTCTGACAGGACAGCTTCAACGCTGACGCTGCAGAAAGCCTTTTGCTAGACACTGGTTTTGCTGCTGTCACCGACGTCGACCTAAGTGCTCTCCTCTCTTCACAAGAGCATTTGACCTAGCAAGCCCAAGACACCAGCCCTGAGCACCAGCCACTCAGCAACACGTCTGTTGGTGAAGCTCCACACAGTGTCCAGAAGGCCTCAACAGACCAAATGGTGTCTTCTCTAAAGTGCTCTAAGTGACTGAAGTCATGAGTGCATTCTGCTCATTAACAACACGGCGGCCGAAGCGGACACAGGTTAAATGAATGTACATGGTGCACACACACACAGCGAGCTATGCTTGGATGACACAGCAGTACACACAAAATGAGGACCAGGTGTGGTCTTTTGTACGTGCCTGATTCTCCCTAAGTCACATTCTGGGTCTTGATCATTCCCCCGGCAGCAGTCACCTGACAGAAACATATGGTCACTGCCAGCCACGTCATACAACAGCTAGAACTCTCTTTCCCTTCAAATAGCATTTGTTAAATCCTCATGATTATTTATAACAAACGCACACACTTTTACAATTCTGTGTCAAAGACCAAAACTGCCGTGAAGGTAGAAACTACAAGCTCACTGAAAGGTACGTTGCCCTCGCACTCAGAAATGTTGCAAAGTGAAGAGTGCAATCTCCTTATTTTCCGCAGATGATCTGGCAACTCTGACTGTCTGCATCCTGCAGTAAGTATTAGAATCAGATCATCTGCATCAGCCTGCGTTCAGCTCAACAATATCAACAGATCATTTTACCATCTTTGCAAAAACAATCCATTTCTACCAAGCACATTTCACAGTAATAAAGCTTTCCAGTCTTCCACAGAAAAATGCTTTTTAGGGAAGCAGGAAGAGAAGGAATGAAAGAATACATTACATATAGAAATCTATTCTTCCAGCCTTCCTCACGAAACAAAATCCCTTCTGGGTAGGCAAGTGAGTTTTATATAATAAAATACAGATTTGCCTTAGATTTTTTTCTTTGTAAGATACAGAAGTGACTTAATATCTGGTCTTGGTTTTGGAAGAATGTCTAGGTTTAAACAAATATCTCGTTTTTCTTATATTACAAAAGGAACTGAGTGAGATTAGATATATGAAATCTTGACTTCCTGCTCATACAGGACAACTGCAGAGAGATAATAACATGAACTTCTCAACTTAGGAAATGCAGGAGATGACATTAACTCTTTCACATAGGCAGTTTTTCCTCTCAGTTTTTTGGTAGGTGTTTGACGTCAACAGATGAAAACAAAACTTTAAACGTTTGACAGCCTGACCAAACATTACACGCCTCTCAATTACAACCTGACAAACCTGTATCTCTGACTGCAGTCTGAGTTTTGGGTCATTGTCACAGCACTGCTCCAGATAAAGTCTTCACAAAAGGAAGCAGCTTTAGACTGGCACTTGCTAATGCAGTAGGCAAGCAGAACTAAACACAAATATAAACCTTTGAGCTGTCACCATACAAGCTGAATCATAAACAGGAGGCAGACGAACATTTCTTTTTGTTTTGCAATTCACTTTAAATAGTATGTAATGCACTCTGACCTGGCAAACCTCCTGCTCCTCCTATTGGTAGATCTCCAAACACCACAGGCTGCAGAAATGACAGTTTTGGGGGGATTTCTACACGCATTACAGCATCACAGTTATCCATGCTCAGAAGGAAGCGCTCCTTGCAGGTGACATGGAAACAGCTCATGTGGTAAAACACTGTTACACAAAATTATCAACCAACAACTCTATCCGTGTACTATTTTATCACAAATCTTGATGTGTTTTGGTGGCACAGCTTCCATGAAAGCATCACCTACTTTGTAAACTCAGTGTTATCTTTAATTATTTTTAAATCCCTTATAACAGCATTCTGAAGATTTATTCTCAAGCCTCTCCATTACGCCACTGTGCAGACATTTACAGAGCCTACTCAAGTAAGAACACTCATCTGAGCTAGGTGGTGACAGGGCTGTTTGTCATTACTACAGCCAATACTCGGACATTAATTAATTCCAAAGCATTCCCCAAGCCTGGCATCTGCCACACCGGCGGTTAGCCTGGAATACAAGTAAGACTGATGCCAAGTCACTCAAGACAACACAGCTTTAGCCTCTTGCTGAAAGTGAGTCAGAAGACTCTACAGATTCCCAACATTATAACGTTTAAGACTGCTGAAGACTTCTTGAAAGCCCTGGTGTAAACCATCTCATTTCAGGCATGGTTCAAGCACCGCTAAAACCATTCAGTTATGTTTACTTTTTCCAATGGAAATCAAAGATATTCAGCACTCAAAATGTCTTCACTCCCTGAGCCAAAATGTCAGATGTGTTCAGCCCAAGAGCACGAGCCAATCGCTCCATCTTTCTGTTATAATGCTAATTACACTGTGGAAATTAAGCCACACAGAGGTTTGGGATCTAAAAGCATCAAGTTTTATATTACGAGAAAATGAAACAAACTCTCCAAGGAGCAATAACTTCAGAACCAAAGCTTTACAGAGCGGCCCTATGCACTCATCAGCAGAACAGGGAAGATGCTGGTTCAGAAAAACAGTCATTTAACAACATATCTTAAATATAACGCAACATAATTTCAGTTATTTCATAAAATGATCAAGCTCCAATGTCACACGAAAAACCCAAAAAGCATCTGCAATGACATTCCGTACTTTCCAGAAAAAAAGAAAAAAAAAGTAGGAGGAGACCATACAAAGAGTTATTAAATCTCTTTCTGGTTGCCTGCATATTGCATCATTGCACTTACCTGACCAAGGGAAGGAAGTGTTGCATATGCCATGGGCTGGTTCATCATTCCTTTCTGCTTCATGATGAGCATGCGTTTCTGTTCCTCACTCAGGTGTCCCATCTGAGCTTGCATCTGTGGCTGCTGGGACTGCTGCTGCTGTATGTACGGCATCATGGGGTTCTTGCTGGGATTTGCCATTGGTGGGGTCATCCTCTGGCTCAGCTCAGCACTGAAGTGGGTCAGAGGTTTGGTGTTGCCATAAGAAAGCATATTAGGCTGTTTGCTTAAAGAGTTTGTGCCCAGGTTATTTGGCTGCTGATTGATCATGTTCATGTGATTCTGAGGGAGGTAGTTATTCATCGTGGTCTTCTGTGGATTGTTGGCCATAGGAGGCACTATTGGGTTTTGGTTGTTAAAGGCTTGGGGATACATCATTGGACTATTTGGTTTCTCTGCACTGAAAGGCCCTCCGTACGGACTAGATGGAGGGCCCACAGGCGACCAGCTTGAGGCTTGATTTGGATGCTGCTGCTGCTTCTGCTGCATGAGCTTAGCTCTCTGCTGCTGCTGTGCGGCCATTTGCTTGAGCTGTTCAGCTGGAGACAAGTCAGCACTCGGTAGATTCACCGGTCCAGGCCCTGATCCCGCCACTGCTGCTGCTGCTGGGTTCATAAGATACCCGTTTCCAGATCGTGTCTGAGTTTGGCCTGGAGTATGGGCCTGGTTGGGAGTCTGAGGCGACTGAACAACACAGTTTGCTGGTGAGCCTGCAGGGATTGGAGCTGGTGGAGCACTGGATACAGAAGTCACGCTAGAGGCTGTGGAAACATTTGAGAACGGAGGACCAGAGGAAGACGGCCTCACCTGGGGAGATCCTAATGGAACATGAGCAAATGGGGAATGAGATGGATCGCTTTTGACGCTTGCACTCTCTTGAGTCTCTGCGGCAGGCCTCATAAGGTCCGACTCTTTCTTCTCTTCGAAGTCTTCATTGAACAAATCTTGTATGTCATCTTCCGGAACGGTGTTTGCTAGTTCATCTATTAGCTCCTGCCACTCTTGATCGTTCAGATTGATGTCTGAGAAGAGTTTGTTCTGATTTGAAAGGGATGTCTCCGAAGTGTCTATGCAGGTAGGATCGTCCAAAGGCTCTTGCTTTAGTTCCTTGTTCTGCAGGACATTAAAACCATCGTCTAACTCACTGCACCCATTAACAGGGAGCTTTATCTCTGAAAGCCCACCATTTTTACCCAAGTCCTCTAGCCCACTGCCGTGAGTTCCACTGTTCTGCAGGGGCAAGGATGCTTTCATGTCAAGCTGGTGAAGAGGAGAAACGGCAGGCAAAGGCAAGTTATTGGGCAAGCTGTTGATCGCCTCGATGCCTGGTACATCTTTCCGTATCCGCTTGCTGGTTGGAGAAAAGCTGCCATCGCAAACTCCATTCTGCTGCTCTCCATTCAGAGGTGATCGTGCGCCTTCCAACTTCCTTTTGACAGTCTCTTGAAGCTTAAGGGAAAACAAGAGAAAAAAAAATCAACATTGACCAGTTGCAGAGACAAAGTGCTGATGAGCCTTGTGACAGACACTTGTTACCAAGCTGACTAGTGACCATAGGTTTTAAAAAATTATTAGGAAGCTTCCTTGATTTCATTCCTATGCCTTGATCAGTAGGTTCAAAGACGTCTAAAAATAGGTCTAAGACCGTCTAAAACAAACCAACCAACTCTTCAAAACAACAACTGCAAAAAACCAAAACACCCACTGCCCTGAATAGGAGAGCACAGGTCCACAGGTCCACAAACAGCTCTGTACAACTTGCCTGAACTCCCCAGACTACCTGAATTTTACAGAACAGACTGAATATTCCAACTTGTTGGTGCCTGACGCAGCGACGAAACTTATGTTTTCACAAAATACTAAGCAGCATCTTCTGATAGTTCGACTCCTTTAAGGAGCCCTCCGTTCCATTTTCAAAAACCTAATCACTAAAATATACTATTTATTCTGAAAAACATTTTTTTTTAAGTTTCTCCAAGTTTTTGAAAAAAAATATCTGCAAGGCAACTGATTGACTATTTGTATTGAAATGTGCTGTTGACACACACACACAAAATCTGAAAATATTGATTAACGTAGCTTAATTTGAATAGCACTCTGCTCTTTGGCTGTGAAACGTATTAAGAATCAGTTTTAAATGAGGAAAAAAAAATAACCACTCCAAAAAATAGCACGTATTTTGCACAATGCTAACCCAATCATATCACACACACACACAAAAAAAGAAAAGGAAATACTGTATGCGGTAGGGGGTAACATAAAAGACAAATAACTAACAGAAATGATAACAGGAAAAGTCCAGGAAAGCAACCAAAATAGCTATGAGAATATTATAAATAATAACTTAGTCATATAAGTTTTATTTTACATTAAAAAAAGAAGAGTAAAGCAGTGTTAGGGAGTACAATCCTCTCCTACCACAATCAAACATCAAGTTCTCTGCTCTGTGTACCAGGCTAAAAAAAGCAGCCTTCTTTAACTCCTGCAAAAACAATAGTGGGGAGGGGAGGAAGCAAAGACATCACAGCTCTAGAGAACTCCTTCAGGACACACTTGCGTCCTTGATACTAGAACAATAGAAGATCACAAAAAAAGGAAGATTTTATCCTATTTTTAAAGTACTTTTACTGGTATGAAAATCTCAGCCACTCAGCTGCCATCCCTGCCCTAAACTTGAGGTCCTGAACCTCGTTTCTTCCCACACGGCAGACCCCACTTAGTTCTCCCATGCCAGGGGGCAGGCTCCCCTTTCATCACAAATGCAAAGCAAAACAGGCAAGCAAACTCATCTTTCATCCCCACTCAGAGGGAGCAGCTCGGAGAGAGCAGCCTTTCTCCCAGCCCTGTGCAGGCCATTGGGCACAGCTGCACACGACAGGGATGCTACGTGGCTCTCACCTGCTGCCTCCCTGCCCTAAAATCCTGCATTAAGCTGAACATCACTGCATTTATACGGTGTCACTATGGCTAGAGTCTTCCAGCCTGTTTTCCCTTTGCCCTAAGACCATGTTAGCAAAATACTGAGTTGCAGCAAGAACGGCCACTGGCATGCTTCTAGTGATGAAGAGAAGGCCATGTAAGAAAGACAGACCTCAATTAGTCTTAATACCATGTCAGAGAGTAGTGTGAGCGGTCATCGTCTGAGAAATAAAACAAAGCTGATTCCATACGTTTCACAGCACTTTGCGGGCATCCCTTATGGAACAGGGGGTCGAAGCGATAACATTTCACATTTTACATCTTTTAGTAATTTATCCTGAATCCATCACCTTATTTGTACATGAATGTTTACCAAGAGAATCAAAACTATCCACAGGCAAATAACCAACCCTAAAAATACCAGCTTCTAGAGATGTAGTCATGCTGAAAAACTTGGATGTCCCCCTGTACAAATATACAAGGACTTCAGTGAAAGTAAAGCAAGGCCAGTATATAAATATCAACATCTTTGTTTATTATGTATTACAACAAAAAGCAGATTTAAGATGGAAACTATTTTCCATCAAATATCAGCTGTACAAAGATCTTGCCTTGCTGCAAACAAAAAAAAACCCAAACACTCCAAAGCCTATTCTAAGTCTCTAGCTCCAAATTATTCTCCCTCAGACATTTTTGGGTGTGGGGGACTAAGAGTCAATAGAACAGTCTATTCTCTATACGTTGTTCGTTTGCCCACTGAACAACTGTAGGTGGAAAGAAACATAACACAAAGGTTTATTGGAAAGGAACCTGCTGCATACCAACTTCATGGGTGGCAAAGCATCTTACTCCAGTATTTGGGAGGGCACCGGGGCCACAAAAATAGATGCATCTGTTTTAGATATGACACATAAATATCCTTAATTTATTTCAGTGCAAGTAGTTGTTCTCACATCCTGATCTAATTCTCAATCACCGTGTAAACTAGTGGATAGCTTGAGTGTTGTGCACTGACCACGGACAGGCCAGCAGCTTACTGCATTAGGATTGCACAGTGACTTGGAGTAGAACTCCAGCACCTCACCTTCTCTCCATAAAAACAAAGCCTGAAGTCAAATATTCTCCTGCAAAGTGCCTTCCACTTCCTTCTAAGAAGTAGTGCCTAGCTTGTGCATGTGATTTACAGCATGCTTCATGAAGACACTAGCCTCAGAGTGGAGATTTATATCTTCGAGCAGAAAACTCTTGATGCATAAAATAAAACAAAAATAAAATCCTTGCCAGGTTCATAGGCTTTTACCTTTATTTACGCAAAATATTTGGCTGATGGAATTGCATTTCAAAGCAGAAAGCAGGGTGAAGCAGGACTTGCTGTTATTTACATGCCTCTGGAGAAACTCTTGTCGCGGAGCAGGAAAAGGTCAAACTTTAGCGGGCTGACTTCTTAAGGACTCAAGCATGGGGCAGAGGAGGACAGGAGCTGTGCACGCCAACACACAGCCGCACGAGGACCTGGCCCAGCTGAACTCAACTGCCCTGAAATCTTCAGCAGGCTGCTCGGACATGCCACAGCACACCCGGCACATAAACAACACAGCACCGAGGCTGTCGGCAGGGCTTTCATCTGCCGGGAGAAGCCGCTTCGCTTCATCCCACCAGCAGCAATTCATTTTTCAAAAGAAATTAGACCAAGGTGCTGTTGTTATAGCAACAGTCAGAGCCACTTACCCGGCCCCATCCCCCCTGCTTATGCTGACTTCAGCGGGCAGCTATTTCAATTATGTATGGGGAGTGACCAGGACGGCGGCTGCTTAGTTCTTTTATTGCTCTTTCAAAAATTTAAAAGAAAAAGGCACAGACTAAATCCTCTTCCTGCCTGTGGAAGCGGAGCACCTCTCACAGTGCCTAACACAGCTCTGCTTGCAGCTGATGGCCAGATGACACGACAGCCTGCAGGCACAGGGGCTCACAGCCTGCAGACACGCTGCAGCAAGTTCACTCCCCAGCATTTTGCACTGTGCCCAAATGCTCGGCACGTGTCACAGCGGTTGTGTTAAGAGGCTCTGCTCAACATGACTGGACCCAACAGATCACCTAAGCCAAGGTGCAACAGGCATAACAACCTCATCTGAGCTCCACAGGGAATAATTACTATCGCCACCAATTCAGCTCCAAACATTTGAAAGGATTCCACGTCTCTTGGGCATCTGCGTCCTTGCTGGACTGCTTCAGAGATCGCCATTAACAGGCCAACAGTGCAAAAAGGCAGCAAAGACCACATCGTGTGACCAGTTTAGGAGGTCTTTCAGCACCGCAGCAGCCTCATGCTGCACAGCTGTCACAGAGAGATGAGGTGAGAGCAAGAAAGGTGTTCAAAAACAAGAACTGAGATCAGACAAGTGGTCAGGCAGAGCCCAGGGACAGGAGGCTGCTTCGAACAGGTGAAAATACTTTGTGCATCAAACCATCCCCACTACCTGAGCTTCCTCACACTGCTGCACGCACCACACCAATGATGTGTACTTACAGGATGAAGCCTGACACAGCAAATTGATTAGGGATTCTAACTGCTCACTTAAAGCACACACTGCACTCCTCCATGCTGGGCCTGTCTGCCCAGTTCTTAAAGACTCACAGAATCATTAAGGTTGGAGAAAGACTTCTAAGATCACCGAGTCCAATCATCAACCAATCCCCACCATACTCATTAACCATGTCCCTCAGTGCCACATCTCCACGCTTCTTGAACACCTCCAGGGACGGTGACTTCCCCATCTCCCTAGGCAGCCTGTGCGAGTACCTGACCACTCTTTCTGAAAACTTTTTGTTCCTACTATCTAACCTGGCACAACTGGGGGCCATTACTTCTCATCCTGTCGCTGCTGCGCAGGAGAAGAAGCCGATCCCCGCTTTGCTACAGCCCCGTTTCATGCAGTTGTAGAGAGCAATAAGGTCTCCCCTGAGCCTCCTCTGCTCTGGAATCAACAGTGCCAGTTCACTCCTTGTACGACTTGTGCTCCAGACCTTTCACCAGCTTTGTTGCCCTGCAGGCCACTGAAGCATCGCAAATACAGAGGAAACTCCCATCGTGAAGTCTGTTTGAAGTTGGTAAAAGTCTTGCTCTGCCAATCTCCGCAGTAACCTCTGCAGGTTCACTGAGTAACCTCTGCTGAAAGAATGAGGTTAAACTGCTGCCTGTTATCCGAGCAGCTCATGTCTGCTGGAGACTACCATTGGCCTTGTTTTTGCAAGCAGCTATCTGAAGAACACCCCACGTGTGTTAACAGCAAGGAGTAAAACAAGCTCAGGACGTCAGGCAATAGCTAACAGTAAGGAAAATGATCAGTTTAGCTGGGTCCATTGGACAGGAGGGGTTAGTGTTTTGAGCAGCAGCTGGATGCAGAGCTAGCAGCGTGCAGATCCTCTCTGAAGCTGCTCGCCCAGCCAGCAGCAGGATCACGCTGTGAGGTCAAGTGGAGCCCAGGGAAGAACAGCAGCAAAAAAGGCACTGCAAGAGGGCAAAGCGCTGG